TGTCAATCTGTTCATATTTTAATCTATCAATTACATTTTTAATACCATCTGAAAATCTTATGAAATGGTCATTATATGGGTTTGATTGAACTAATTTGAATGAAGTGAAATATAACCTGTTGATGAATATGACACCGACTCATATTTTCTGAAAACACTAAAATTTATAACATGAATGAATTTCTTATTCGTTGAATTTATGAATTCTTGAGGTAATCTTATTCTAGTTTTATTTATCACTGGAAAATAACGCTTTACCATATTTTTAATTGTAATAAAAATGTCAATTATCAATATTATTTCGAATAATAACTGTGAATTAAATTTAACAGTTAGCGGAATTTATAATGTTGGGTCATTATTGATTTTGTAATTTAATCGTCGTCGTTATCGATTTTGTAATTTAATCGTTATCGTCTTTTTCTAAACGTGCATTTTTTGCTTTCGGAGCTATTGAACATACATTGGCCCTTACCAGCAATTGAAAACTATTTTTCATTATCAACAATTACATTACTCCGAGTTATTCATCAATCAATGAAAATCGATATATAGTCCATACTTCAATTTACAATATTGGCAAGTCCAATTTCACTTGGCATATTTAACTCATATAGAAAAACCAGTTGGAATCGGCAAAATTATCTTTAATTCCATACATAAGAAAAAAAAATTATAAAGTTCTTCAATAATAGCAAACTAATAGTTTAAATAGATTTACAAGTATCGCCCATCTACTTTTGATATAATTCACATATTAAATGTAGAAAACTGGTTTAAAATAAATATTTCAAAAGTTCGAAAACGATTTATGAAAAAATAACGTGATGACATTTACTAAATTTGCTCTGTATTAAAGTATCGATGATAGAAAGAGCATATTTTGTAAATATTTCAAAAATATTTAAAAGTCGGAGAAATTGTATTGTAATGTACTATAATTATGTTACAAATCCGATTCAATACTAATCCTTCGCTATTGAAGTTGTTTTGAGAAGGATATTCTCTGAATTCTTGATAAATCTTTAAAATCTAGAGTAATCGTTTTGTAAACTTAACAAAACTAAAAGGTATACCAATAGATTGGCATTTTCTACGTTTTCAAAGTGAGAGAGTGTAAATTTTTTTTGTTATAGACCGAAAATAGATTTTTTCGGCTTTCTCTTCAAATAATTGAAAGAATGATACTATTATAGGTTTATTATATTATATAGCATATAATCATGCTATAGCCGAAAATTATAAGTTTTGAGAAGATTGAATATAACACAAATAAATTTGAATGTAAGTTAAATTGCTTGTTGTTTTTAATAGCTATTTAATGAGAAATCCAATATTGCAAAATTCAAATTGAATGATTGAAAGAACAGAAAAAGTCGTTCTTTTCAATTTCGAATATGTTTCATTGTATTTATAATTATATGGCAAATAAGATATTTAAACTTGATTTTTGAAGGAAAATTCACAAAATTGAATAAATTCAAATAATTTTTATTCAAAAATAAACTAGTTATTTGAGTTTAATACTAATTATCTATTCAAACTACAAAGTTTGTAATTTAAAATATTTTGTGAGATCAGATTGAATTAATTCAAGGTTCTTTTCAATTAATATTAATGACCATATTACGCATTTTCGAACATTCTAAACCAAATATATAAAAATCATTTCACCAAGACGCGATTAGAGCATGCCGGGCCAGAGCTGGCAGCGACGACAGCGAACGTTGCGGCTTCCGCCTTCATTGAATTTGGCGCCCCTTATTGTTTCTGGACCGACAACGGTTCAGAAAATAGGGGCGCCTTTCAAGATCTACTTGATCTTTGGGGCGTCCAATGGCGGCATACAGACTCTCATTCTCCCTACCAAAATGGGAAGATTGAGAGATTCTGGCCGACATTGGAGCGCTGCCAAAGCATTCAGGCTATTCCTGCCTTTATTTGGGAGTACAATAATAACACACCGCATGAAGCATATTACCAAACTTCACAAACACATCTAACTATTCAAATCATTTCAAATTTAAAATCATATAAATTAATATTATGAATATCCTGTTCTTTTTCCGAATACCCTTTATTCCCACATTTCAATATATCTCTAAGTATGCAATAGTACCGATAAAACATTAATATCCCTGATATTTATAAAAATGTAATATCTGATCTTTTGATGATTATCGGTATCATATATGTTTATTAGTATTACCATATCTATTATTACATACACTAACAGTATATGACATTTACACTTTTATTAAACCAAAATTCAAAAGAATCTTTTTGCAATTTCGTCCAATATGAAATTAAATCCAATGAAACATACACAACACTCTCCTATATCTTCTGTAGTTGCATATTATATATTCAAACGATTTTTAAATAATGTTTCTATCAAATGTGTAGTGATTCCGTCCCGATTAAAAATTGAGTACTTTCATCCCGATTTATCGGGATAAAATTGAATACTTTTATCCCGATTTCCCGATCAATTCCGATGCCGCCTGGACACACATATTTTTATATCTTGAATTTTATAATAGATTACTATCTTTGCAGCCGAAAATATGAAAAACATAATTTTGATGATAAGTTATCAAAGTCAAGTTTACAAACCTTCCGAAGAAATCGATAGCAGTCGCGATATATATACAACAGCTCCGAAACTCCGAAGTTGCAATTTTAAGCAGAAAAGACTAAATTTGAACTGCAATAATAAATGAAGTGTTTATTCGTATTTTTTCTTGGAGTATATAAGAATTTCCGAAAAAGTGACACTTTCAATAGGGGGTAACACTTAAAAAGTGACAATTTAAAATTCACAATAAATAAAAATAATAAATTTTTTAGTCTATTAAATTATTCTTTTCTTTGAAATCCTCCAAAAATTCTTCGAAATGTTCTAAAATATAATCTGGAGAATTATAACAAAATTCATTAATTTCTAACATCTACGTATCTAACAATTCATTTGGAATTTCAAACGATCTTAAATATGTAATTGAATTTTGTATCTTCTCATTTATTTGAGAAAGTTTTTCTTCAGCATTTTCCAATAAAAATCTTAATGGATTCAAATTGGCTTCTTGATTCTGAACAAAATTTAATACTTGGTATAAACGTGATTGAACTTCTCTTTTCAATTTTGTTTTATAATCTGTCAATCGAGGCTCGCGAATTCTAATTGAAGGAATAAAACCTGTTTGAAGTAAATCGTTTTTAATACGATAAAAGTAATTGGGTGCAACTTCTTCTAAAAGATTTTTGACAAAAACATCAATTCTTTGATTTTTAACGCAGCCAAAATCGTGATATTTTATCTTTTTAAATAAAGATTCAGAAACGTTATTCACAACGGTTAATTCATTTGGTCTGGCAGCGGCTATCCACATCATAGCCAACAATTCCTTATACAAAATTCAAAAACTTGGGTGCAATCAGTTCTGATTGCACCCAAGTTTTTGAACTTTCTTGAGGGAATTAAAGGGTGAGAGATTTATAGTCTATCTATATATCTCCCACCCTCTAATTCCCTCCCTGACAGCGGGAAATTTTGTCTGAATGTTAAACTATTCAGACAAAGTTTCCCGCTGTTTGCGAAGGTATTGTTGGCTATGATGTACTGATTCATGATCAGTACATCATAGCCAACAATTCCTTATACAAAGTTCAAAAACTTGGGTGCAATCAGAACTGATTGCACCCAAGTTTTTGAACTTTCTTGAGGGAATTAAAGGGTGAGAGATTTATAGTCTATCTATATACCTCTTACCCTTCCATTCCCTCTCTGACAGCGGGAAACTTTGTCTGAATGTTAAACTATTCAGACAAAGTTTCCCGCTGTCAGCGAAAGAATTGTTCCATCTGGTGCATAGAGTGTGAATCTATGCACCAGATGGAACAAGTCCCTCGCGAAATTGCCCAAACTTGCGTCGCATTTCAAAGATTGTGACCCAAATTTTGGCGATTTCTAGTAGAGATGGAGTATTTTGAGTCACTGACCTATATGCAGTGGCTCAAAGGGCTCCATCTCTACTTTGAAGCAAGGAAACTTTCCTCGAAATTTTGATAATTTGAAGAAAGTTTTCAAGCAATTAACAAAGGATTACTCGCTATGAGGTAAAAATTCTAGATTTTCACCTCATAGCGAGAGCTTCCCTTTCATTGCTTGAAAACTTTCCCCAGCTTCAAAATTGGGGAAAGGGCTGTAAAGTCGACTCCGATACCAGCAGGTACCAGAGTATTTAAAAGAGAAGCCCTCGTACGAGTTTCTATGAAGACCTTCTCATTCAAGAAGATCTTAATAGAAAATCGTACGAGGGCATTGGAAACTCGCGTCTGGTACATGTTGGTACCAGAGTGTTTGAGATTTGAAGACTCTGGTACTAACATGTACCAGAATTTATGATGAATGTAAGATGGACCATTATAAAATGGTAGCGGTTTGTTTCAAAAAATTTTAGATGAGATTTGCATAGATATAGATTATATGATTTATACATATGAAAAATAATATATAAAAATATAATTTTGAGATAATTATGTAAATAATATTTTAAATATTTGAATTTGAGGTATAATTTTATAGTAAAATATATTATAAAGAGTATTTATATAAATATTGTAAAATAATATAAGTAATAAAAATTGAGACCCCCTCCCTGTTTTTGATGTTTTGTCACTTTTTCGGTAATTCTTATTGTTTCCTCCGAAACTCCGAAGTTGCAATTTTAAGCAGAAAAGACAAAATTTGACCTGCAATAATAAATGAAGTGTTTATTCGTATTTTTTCTTGAAATGTTGTATAATTTTTTTCTACTTATTGAAGATTTTCTTAAGACTTTTTAGCTTGCCCTCAGCGATCCAATATGGCTCTTGATTGGGATTTCGATACCAGTGATCATCAATCTCACTGGCCTCGAATTCAATCGGCGTAAAGTGAACGTTAGTTTCAGGATTGACGGGTAGTGATGAATGTGGGAGATTATTGTAAAACTTGATCACTCTTGGTAAATCTGATTCAGACCGACAATTTTTTCTACGTACGGCCACCATCTTTCAATCTTGCCGTTTGCTTGTGGATTGCCTGGCTGTATGAAGATGTGCTCAATTCCGCGATCAACTAAAATTTGATGAAATATACTTTTATTTTCGAGACCGTTATCAGTCCAAACCGCATATGGTGGTTGTGGAATCGTACTTAATGCTCTGAGAAGAACATTTGATGTATTTTGAGCAGTTTTTTCTGAAAAAAGATTGGAGTTTATGTGAATTGAAATTTTAATACGCATAAAGGTAGTTTATTTGAATTCAGTTATTTATGAATATAGTTAAAATTGGAATTCAGAATACCATTTTTAACGTATTCTTAATTCAAAATATGAGCGGTTAATTCCATATGCAAAATTATGAGATTATATGCGAATTAAAATTGATATCCCAATTAAAAGTATAAATTCGAATTAATTCTTAATTTGCATTTGTCTGATATATTATGAATTAGGAATATTGAAACATATATCCTCATATAGAATATCATTCATTGATTTAGAAAAATGTACTTGCACGAAAAGTGACACCTAGATTTCATTTTCATATGCCTCTTTATCACTTTGCTATGGTCTTAGCGATAAATTATCGGCTATGAATATCATTTCGATTTGACTACTTATAATCGATTAAATATAATTGTATTTGATTGGGTTAAAATATTTTCATTTGATATTTAAAATATTACTTAAATGTGATTGCTTTCAAAAATTAGAAGATGTTTTTGATTGAAGAAAAATAATTTTTATAATTATATTTTGTTTGATTAAAATTGAATATACAATATCAGCGATTTATAAAATTGTTGACCTGAACGACACAGTTTATTAGAAAGCATATTATAGTCCAAGATTCAAATGTTTATAATCAGATGTTATTTAATTAGTACATAAAACAAAATAGTTACCTAACTTAATTCATCTAATTAAAATTGGTTTATATTTTGTGATATTCGAGGGCTATATCATAAACAATACCAGATGAAGGAAAACAAAGTTGTATTGTAATGTATCTTATAATTAATCATTTCTTAATTTTGTTCTGTCTATTATTTTTCTCATGGTTTTTATATAATGCTATGATAAGTGAAGTCAACCGAGTTTTCGTGCAATACATTTACGACAATGATTCAACATTATCTGAAAATATTGATTCTGATTATTGTAGGCTGGCCAATTGGTGGGGTCTCCCCAGGTGAAGTGAAAATTCCCATACCACAAGTGGACCTTTTTTTCTCAGCTCATTATAGGATATAGCAGAAGCTTTGGGAATATATGCACATATATGCACATATATATAGTAAGTTATACAGGGAGTTTGAGGGAAATTTATTTTTTATAAGATATTGCAAATTTTGAAAATATAATAAATTTCATTAAATATTACATGAGCTGCTTTACTTTGTCCCATACCTCTCATTTCGAGTACTTATAAGCTCAGAAATTAAACACAAACAAACTTATATCTTTGAGATTTCAAATTTTTATCGACAATGTATATTGTTCACAGTGGAATTGATTCATACTTGTCTTGTATGAAACGATTCCACTGTGAACAATTGATTTGTCATTGTTTTTGGGATACAATTTGAAATGCAGAATTCAAAGATCAAATATTTTGCCATGACACACACGTTTTTGGCATTTGCCAGCTTTGGTCGATGTTGCCAAGCATAAAATAAGTTTATATTCCAAGAAGGTGTCAAAAGATTGAATCTCATTTTGATCAAATTCATCAATAATGTATGCGGGTGAGACTGCCTTCAAGGTAGCCCTTATATTTTAAGTTGATTGCGAATGTGTCTATCACTAGTACCCTGCATCTATATGGGCAAATCAGGAATTGCTTGCACTTTTTCCATAGAATGTCACATCGAAATTTAAATTCAAGAAAGGAGTTTACAAATGCAGGGTATTGTTCCTTTACCCTGCATTTGTAAACTCCTTTCTTATAAAACCTTGCTGCAATAAATTATAAATATCACATTCTTATTCAAACTCGCAAATTCTATTCATTTCTATCTTTCAATCATAAATATACATACCTTCTCTATCTAATATTTCTCTATTTGTTAATTTCCCTCTCAAATTTGTTGTTTTTTATATTATTTTTAAAATTTTCGATTTTTTTGGATAATTTTCTTCAATTTTATGATAATTTATTCTATTCTCATTATATAATAATATTATTCATTTTTATTTATTTTATTTTTGAATACATACGATAATTTTTAATTCAATTTTTAAACGAATGTTTTGATGGGACGAGCTTACTGAGCATAGGCTCATCCCATCAAAACATTCCCTAAAAAACTCTGGCCTTCATCGAGGCCAGAGTCCACAATTCATCTACTCAGAGCCAAGTTCCTCGACGGTCGTCCTCATTAGGCACGATCCGAGAGGAACTTGGCTCTTCATTAAAATCACAAGCTCTGGCCATTGCTAAGGCCAGAGCTTCGCAAACCATCCTCGGGGCCGGTTTCCTCAAAGACCACCCTGATTCGGGGCGGCCGGAGAGGAATCCAGCCCCGAGAGATTGCCCATACGAAGCTCTGGCCATCTTTTAGCATCTTATATATTCCAATTAATACTATTTTAATCCCATTTCAACTTTAATTTTAATCCATTGGCTCCCTATTTCTTTAAGCTTCTTTATTCAATACTTTATACTTTCAATTTTTCAACACTCTTTCAAACATTGGCTTTCTAATATTCCATTTATTATTACCTTTTAAATTATTTTATAAAAATTTTAAATTCTATACTTCTCAATTTATATTTCATTCAAATATTCCTTATCATTTTTTCATTAATTTCTTTAGATTATTTATCACATTTACCATAACTGTACTGCTTAACATCTTTCACATATCTATTATTTTTAATTACCCAACTTACTCAAATTCATAATATAATTATATTACCCAGATTTTCCTTACTTTTACCACTCCCCATGTAATTTCTGGGGAAAAAGATAATTCATTTTTTTTATGGATGAATAGATCGTTTTCCTAGAAAGGACCTCATATCTCTGGCTAAAAAGAGTGTCAGATCCTAAATAGATTATTGATCTAGTGTACAAATCCAATAAAAAGCATATTTTTTTGGCTTTTTTGGTGCTCATTTTTTCGAAGATCTACATGAATATGGGGAAACCATCGGATTTTTTTGGTTAACCCACATCTTCATGTAGTCTGGACTATCTTTCCTCGAAGGACCTCTTTACGGGTGTAAAAACTCATAAAGTTCTCAAAAGATTCATTCTCGATCTCCATGCTGAAAGAATTTACAATAAAAAAGAGATCTACGCATCAAACTACAGCCATAAATGAACTGAGCCCCTAAAGTTCAGCTCTTAGTTTATCAAAAACGTCGAAATCCTTCTCATTGCAATCAAATTTTCTCAATAACTCATAAGAAAAATCGAATTTTGATTAAGCCGATGTTATAGGTATCACAAATACTACAAACTTTAGCAATATCGAAATTGCCAGCAAAAGTTTGAAATTGCATTGCTCATATTTGTTTTGTAAACTAAAAATCTGCTTATATTATTCATTAATTTTTTATATATTATTCATATACTTTAATAAAAACAATACTATTTCACCTTAAAAATGAATTTCATAAGTCAATATTAGTTTTTTGAAAATGTATCAATTTTCGATTAAAACAACATGAGAATAAAATTTACGCAAAATTATTTTAAAAAATGGTTTTAAAAATTTACAATAGATTAAGAATAAGATTGCAAGAAGTTTTGAAGTTTAATTTTAAGAAAAAAAATTCGGATATTATTCATGGATCTAAGTAATCTGATATTTGAGTATCGGCACTATGCATAAAACATATATTTATAGTTTTTTTGGATTTTTATGATTTTAAATATATTCAAATTTGGCAATCCAATAGATTTTTAAAAAATAGGTAAATAAAAATAGATTACATATGCAGCAGATTTAGAACATGAAACAAATCTTATAGTGACCCAAAAAAAAATTCATGATCCAAAAAAGAAAAAAATTGGCTAAATGGGAATCAAACCTTGGCATAATGAATCATTATGTCGGATGTTTACACTACACTACACCGGCAGTTCGAAAAATAACCTTGGTGGTTATATTTAATAGCTACTCCCAACGATAGGCGGTGTCCCCAGCTTTAGAGAGGTGGTAAAAGTAAGGAAAATCTGGGTATATTCTCCTTTTATCATTTTGTAAATTATGAAATTTGGGTTTTTGTAAATTTGCGGAAGAATTCTTATGATCCAACTGTCTGAATCTTCGGATTTATTAGAATTTTCGGATTTTTCTTCATTTTCCGAAAGATTTTTTTGCGTTTCTTGAGTTTCTTCAATTTCTTCTGGTAATTCTATTAGTTCTTCATGCGCCAAGCTTGTGAGTTCGTCTGGCTTGTTCATTTGAACTGGATTCTCCTTTGAATCTACATTTTCGGAATCTGAAGTTAACTTTTGAACTACTTGTACTTTTTGTGAAGATTTTGGGGCTTCCCTAATATGAGGTGATAAAGAATTTTCTGTAATTCTCGAAAAATGTTTCTTTGAACTTGCTTGTGTCAACTGCTGAAATATTGTTTTCCACTTCACTTTGCGGAATCTGGATTTTGGAAGGTGCAGTCATTTCGCTTACGATATTCGTAACAGTATCATCTTGATCATTTGGTAATTACCATTTGGTAATTCATTGAGCATCAATTCATTATCAGAAGATAAATCTGGATTCTGCGGTAAAATCAATTGAATCTTTATCAGCTGTAGCGGTTATTGCAGGGATTTTCGTCTCAATTTTCTTGGTTGACTTCACTTGGGCGAGATATTTTTGTAATAAATTTTCTATGTTTGTCTTAGTTTTTTACGAACGGTTGTGTTGTAGTCGATTTTTCTTTTTTGATTGCTTTAAGAATTCGTAAAATGAATCTTTTTTAACAAATGGAAGTGACGCGAAAATTAAATTCAGACATATTGGCTGTATACCACCCATCAGCTTTGTTGTTCGATCTTGGAGTTGAAGCTTTTTCATGGATCTTCAGATTCTCAGATGGCGATTTGGATTTTTGTGGGGGTGGAACTATTCCAGTAGTGTCGATAAATTTATGGGACTGAGCAAAAATTGAATCGAGATTTTGTTCCGTACCGAAATGCATCACTAGAAAAAGTGACACTTACACTTATTTTGAGCGGCAATTTTTCTAAGTTATTTTGTTAAGCTAAATGCGTTATCAAATCAGCTTTATAAATATTATAGAAAAGTTTATTTTTATTTTAATTATTATTATTATTATTTTTTAAATTAAAAGAAAACATTAGAATTATATATAGATAGAATCAGTACCTCGCAGACTATAGTTCTCTATATGGCGCTGAAAATTTTTGGTGAAATGTCGTCGCATTTCACCAAAAATTTTTCGGCGCCATAGGAAGAATAGATTATCGAATTTTAGAGGATGGTGTTCCTGTTTATATTCAAAGATTTAAAGGGAAGCAATATTATAGAATTGTTAATCCTGAATACATAAAACATTTATTTAAAAAGGAAGACTGTGAATTATTAAACGTTAATGAATATGAAACCAATAAATCAAAATTGAAATATAAATATATTGGAAGTGATGAAAGATGCAAAGATAAAGATAAAGTTTATACAGTTTCATATAATGAATGGAAAACCAATAAGATAAGAAAACATTTAGGAGATTATGGGAAATGTTCTGAAATCTTCAAATCTAGTATGTACGAGAGAGTAAAAGAAATTAGAAATAATTATTTTCATGAATAAAATAAAAAAATTTTTAACAAATAAACTTCTTACGAAAAATTAAAACTTAGTTATGTTTATTATTTTATTTTTTTATTTTGTATGAAATGAGCGTCAAAACTAACAACGTTAAAAAATTAGGATTCACAAACGAGGAAATAAAGGATATATTAGAGGAGGTAGGTTATGAAGTTAATAAATATTATTTAAGAAATTGTCAAAAATTTGCCGAGTTATTAAATGATTTAGATTATGATGGAAAAATGAATAAAGATGATGTTATAAATTTCTTATATCCCACATCTGAAGAAGAAAAACCTAAAGAACCTGATGTTTTCCCTGAATATTATGAAGAACGGATTAAAGATGATGATGAATACAATGAAATTGAAAGACTGGAAAAAATAAGAGATGAAATAGATAAAAAAATTAAGGAATTAAGAGAAGTTGAAAAATATAATGAAAATGAAGTAGAGGGTTTAATGAATATCCCAGCTTCAGAATCAGAAGTACAGAAATCTCATGAAGAAAGATATAAAAATTATGTCTCAGAATCAACACAAAATTTATTAGATGGTGAAATAGACGAAACACTTTCAGAAGAAGGTACTAAATTTATTCGTAAACATAAGTTACAATTTATTGATAATGAAGAATACCCCTGTATCCTACTTTCACCACCTTTAGATTCCAAAAATTCAAAAAAGCTCTTAAAAACGTGACATATGCAACTAATACGATTAAGAAAGAAGATCATGATATTTACACAAATTATTATTTAAATAAATGCACAGGTGTTGATAAAGTTTTTGATTTATTAGATAAAATATCAAAAGAAACCATTGGAACCTATAAAATTTTATGTGATTGTGGTTTCATTATTGAAGATACCAATAATGTTTCATATGAAAGAACAGCACCGAAGGAGGACGAAGTGGAAAGGTCTATACCATTCGTTATTAAGAACATAAAAGATATGAAAACTTATAAACATTATATTTATTCATTTATTTCAGAAAAAATGGAAGCAACCCATAAAACATCTTCTCATCATTTTATAGCTATTCATACATTCCTTTTCAAAGTTGTGAAATTAAATAAGACAGGAATTAGATTTAATGTATCAGGGTACGCATTCTTGAGTAAATTAAAATGTATTCGTCACGTCGCAGATGATAAAAATTTATGTGTTCTTAATTCATTTTATGGGCTTTAAAAAATAAACTTTATTTTTATTTATTTTTTAATTTTTTATTCTTACATAAATGAACAAAAACGGAACAGCTAAAATGAATGATAATCAAATTAGAGCAGAAGGTAGAAGGTTATTTAAACGCTTCTATAACATTCCTGATGGTGTTAATCCTAAAACTCGTAGAAGCTATTTAAATGAAGCAATAGATGCATATGAAGGGTTTGACATTTCATCAGAAAGTGAGAGATTAGCGAGAATGTTAAACGTTAATATTGATTTCTATTATTGTGATCCTCAACCAGAAGACGTGGACATAAATAAGGTAGACTTTCCATTAGTGGAATCAATAATGATAGATCCAGAATTTGAAACAGTAAATATTTTATTAACACAGAGTTCATGTGGAAAACTTCACGCTGACAGAATAACAGACGTTGAAGCACTCACCGGCTATAGAGTTTGTCCATATTGTAAAGAAGAAGTTTATTCTATCCGTGATGATCCAGAAAGGAAAAACCAAAGAAGATTTTTAAAACATTGTGAGAAATGTAAAGAAAATAATGGGAGATTAATTCAAGACGTTCAATTGCAAAAGACCCAGCAACCATATGCACCACATATTACGAAACAGAAGATATATCAGTGGTTATTAGCTCACAATTTGCAGGAATATTATCAACCGACAAGATATTATATTACTTTTGACTTCGAAACATTAGAGACTAAAGAAGAATTACAACTTTCTGAGTGTGCAACTTTGAACGCTTACTTAAAACCATTCATGGTATCATCAACGGTTAAATTAAATGATAAAACATATACGAGGAATTTTTGCTTAACTTCGAGTGATTCTTTTATTTCTGATTGGATTGAGTTTTTATTTTCAACCTGTTCATTAGTTGCTAAATCAAATATGAGTCAATACGATGAATTATTGAAGCCGCAAACGGCGGGGACTTTGTCCCATACATTAAATGAAAAACAGAAGGAAGCATTTAAAGAACTTCTAGATGAGGAATTCAATAAAGTGAATATCATAGGTTTTAATTCGGGAAAGTTTGATTTAAATTTAATTCTTCGTGATTTAAACACTGCAAAATGGAAAATAAAATCAATGCTGGGTTCTTCTTCTCAATTTAAGCAAATCATTGTAAAGAAAACAAACGTTCCATATGAATTGAGATTTATTGACATCAGAAATTATATAGCGGGTGGGACATTAGACCAATTCACTCAAGATTTCGGAAACAATAAATCACGTGTTAAATCCTTTTTCCCTTATCAATTCATCACGTGGGAAAATTACGAAGAAGAATTATATAAAGTGGAACCATTCACTCAAGATTCATTTTATTCAGCATTAACTCAAGAAACTATATCAGATAGTGATTATCAAATATATCTCAATGATGCTAAAAACTTTAAGAATAGATTAGAATATTTTATTCATTATTGCAATAAAGATGTTGAAATTATGATTGACCCAATCGATAAAATTATTGAAGAAACATTTGTTTATAAAATTGACATGCTTCATAATCTTTCTTTATCATCGAATGCTTCAATGATTCGTTACGCTTTAGCATATAAAGACTTTAATCCTAATGAAAAATATCCTGAGGAAGAGATAGAATCAAGTTTTGAATTAACGAAAAAGTATTGGAAATATAAAATTGAATCATATAAGAAACAAGATGAAAAAGCAGAAAGAGATACTAAAAATAATGTTTCAATGGATGATTTTCAATACTATCACGATTTAATCCTTTCATCTAAATGCAAAATGTGTGGTAAAGCGTTTACATATGCAAATAAACCAACATTGGATAGAATCGATAATGAAAAACCACATACCAAAGAAAATTGTCAGTTAATGTGTTGTTATTGCAATGTCGTAAAATCAAATAAAGATGAAGATGTTCAACGTTTAAGAATCAATTTAAGAAATTATGCATTAAAAAATAATTTACCAATGACTTTAGATTCAGTTGAAGCTTATCACATTCTCCGTAATGGAATTACTGGTGGTCTATCAAATGTTCAACATCGTGTTAATCTTAAAGGAATCACGCACATTAATAAACTTTCATATAATCCAGAAACTAAAACTGTATCAAATGAGGACACCACCAACATTATGACTCATTTCGTTGGTGTTGATTTTAATTCATTATATCCTTCATCATTTTCATCTAATCCTCATGATTTCATTCAATATACTGACCATAAAATGTATATGCCGGGAAGATTGAATGGTGTTATCATTTGTGATACAGCAACAAAGAAAGCAAAAGCACTGGGAATAATTAAGAAGAAAAATACTTTATTCGTGGCTGAAGTAAAGGGTCACATTGATGAAAAATACATTAATGATTACATAAACTTTTTACCGATAATAAGAAACTTAGATATTATCACAGATGAAAAAATAATTGGCAGTTTTATGTATAATTACATGAAATCAAACAATTTACCAGTTGACCAGAAACAGAGGAAATTAACTCAGTTAGCATCAACACACAACCAATATCAACCATTTTCTTCTTATTATCTTTGGTATCTAATAGACAGATTTCATTTTATCATTGATGACATTCAATCAATTTTAACATTTACTAAAAACACTTGCTTTAATGAATTTGCGAACGAATTTATGAACGAAAGACAAAAGGCTGAATTAGAAGGAAATAAAGGAAAAAGTTTATTTTGCAAGATTTCGCTTAATGGATCATATGGTTACGATGCAATGAATACACAAAATTACGCAAAGACTAAAATAATGAATGCACAGAAGGCACGCGTTGCATGTATGTCAAATAAGTTTAAAAACATAAGAGAAATAGGTGAGGATACATATCAAGTGATGCTTAAAGATAGATTTTATAGATGTGATACATGTTTACAAGAGGCATTCTTCACTTTAGATAACGCAAAATACTGGTATTTAGTTTTCATTTATGATTTTATGTATAAATGCATGGATGTTAATCATTTTCATTTCATTGAAGGTGATACCGATTCATCTTATTGGGCTATTGCTGGCGATCCAAGTCTTCCTAACACTCAAGCATTTCAGGCGATTGTAACCAATAAAAAATTTTATGATAAAAACATTTTCAAATTCGCACCTTTTGATTTCTTCTGTTTTGATGAGAAATTTAAACCTAAATTAAAGAATAAAGCTGAAGAAAAAGCACATGAGAAGAAGTTATTGGGTTTAGCAATTGAGAAACAAGGTGATAACATGGTTGCTTTATGCCCTAAGTGTTATACATCATTCAACGGTTCAATTGATGGAAGTGATTTTAAAAAGATTGCACAAAAAATGAAAGGTGTTAGTTTACGACAAAATAAGCAATTAACACCTAAAAATTATTTGGATATAATAAATGATAAAGTTATTTTCGATGGTCAGAATATTAATTTACAACTTAAAAACGGGTCAATGACTCGCTTAACAATCGGTAAGACTGCATTAACAGGAGCACACACTAAGGCTGTATGTTGTGAAAATGGATGTTGTATGCCATTTATTTAATACAATTTAAAATTTTATTTTTAATAAAATGCCACAGAAGAGACAAAAGGAACCGTTAATGATGCGATTCAATATGTAAATAATGGTTTTGATACTATGATTCAAAGAGGTGGGCACCCTTAAAACATTTATTTTATTTTATTTTTATATAAATGGATAACGCAGATTTAGAAAATTTAATTGATGATTTAGTATTTAATCAAAATTTTCTTAATTATTATGAATTAAAATCATATCTCCAAAAACATAATAACAATATAACGGGTGATGATATGGATTATTATTATTCGTATTATAAAAATGAAATTTTGAAATATCATGATAAAATAATTTCTGAAATTAAAGACAAAATTAAAAATAATGAATATACAAAGGGAAAAACTAAATCACAACTTAAACAGTTGAAAGATTTCAAAAATAAAGTATTAACAGAAGAAGATATTGATGAATTATATAAATTATATAATCCTGAGCCGCAAAAACCAAAGGAACAAAAACAAAAGAAGAAAAAGCCGAAAACAACACCAAAAGAGAAAGTAGCAAATGTTCAACAGCTAAAGGTGCAAAACGCCCAGGTCCTTCAGACCATAAATGATGCACAAGCTTTAATTTATGATTCATTAGTTAAACCATATTCAGCCCGACTTTTAAATGAAGATCAACTTTTGGAATTCATCCTTCAACATAAACTCGAAGCGGGAAAGTATATCAAACCTTTATATACAGCATATTTAAAACAAATGAATAGAATACATCCAGAATTAATGAAGGGAGGAATGAAATCCAAAACTTCATCATCCAAAATCAAAGCAGATAAAATTAAACCACTTGCAACACCAAAACCTCCAACGACAGTACCTCCTCCTTCAGTTAATCCTTCATCATTCACTTTATTATATCCATTTCAAACATTAAAGAAACAAAAAGATTTTAAAAAGGATTTCAAGATATTAAATAAACCAATTGACCCGAAAATTCAACCGTTAAAGGAAAAATTTAGTCGCCCTTCATTTGCACCATATCCATATTCGTACGAAATCGATCATCTGGAATATTCAAAAGGAAACGTTACTTATTTATTCACCATTAACATTAACACTAGATATTTATATTGCATTCCGGTGAAAGGGAAAACAGAACAGGAAACAAGAAGAGCTATACAATACTTACTAGATCATGAAAGAGTAGATAATATAAGGGGTGATGGTGATAAAGGATTTCAGGCAGCTATGATTCATTATTTCCCACAAATTAATTTTTACTTTTCATCCTCTCCATATACGTTTCATAATAAAATAGTTGATGCGGTAATGAGAACTCTTAGAGATGCGTTAGGGGTTAACGGTCAGATATACTGGGATGGAAATCATGACTCCATCATACAGCAGTTAGTATATTATTACAATAATACATGGCATAGAACTATAAACATGAAACCAGTGGAAATGAAAAATGATATTTCAAAAGAATGGGAATATATTAGAAAGCAAATGGAAAGGTTAAATGATGTTAAACGTGAACAAATTAATTCGGGGCTCATGAATTTTAAACAAGGGGATAAAGTTTTGATTCATCTCGATTATGGAAAAACTAATAAATCAATGACAAAAAGAAGACGAAGATTTGACACAATAGCTGAATTTGTTAGATATATTAACGGCAATGCATTAGTTGAAGTTGACAATAAATTAATAGAAATTCCGATTTATTTTATTACTCCATTATATTTAAATAATATTTAATTTTTTTATTTCGTAAGAAATGAGTGACAACAAAGCAGCCAAGAGTCCTGATTCAATTATGATTCAGAGTCCAGACAATGAATATAAAAAGAAATTAAACAGAATTAAATCAAAAATATGCTATTACAAAAAGAAGCCGCAATGCGGCGGGGCTGATGCCCATAAAACTAAAGGAACTGAGAATGATAAAGAGAGGAAAGAAATAATCGAAAAATTAGAAACTTACCGTTCAATCCTTAAACTGAGTGAAGCAAAAATAAAAGAATTTAATAGAATCAATAAATTGATTGGAAGAGATGAATTTAATAAAGATGAATTTTTAAACTCTATCCAAATTTAATTTTTATTCCTCTTCGACAACGTCTCTTCGAGACGCAGAACCCTTCTGGGCTCTTATTTCCATCATTACTGCATAACCACATCTTCTCGGTTTTCGTGGTTTGTTGTTTTTAATTCGTTCTTGCATCATTTTTATCATTTCCTCCCTTGTTATGATTCGTGGTAAATTTTGAGCTTGTGGGGTATCCATTTATATAAAAATAAAATTTTGTTATCAGTTATTTTATCATCATTTTATTAAGTTCATCTTTAGTTAATTTGAATGGATTCGCTAATGTTCCACCTTGAGCCACAACACTTGCCCCGGCTAATTGTGAAGAACCTGGGATAAGTACTCCATGAAATGATTTCATTGGTATCATTAATTTAGAAATAGTTGGCTTAATTAATTTTGTCATTTATGATAAAAATAAAATTGCATAATTTAAATTTTTTTCTTTCTCATTTTCTCATTTTCTCATTTTCTCATTTTTCATCCTGTTTTGGTTTCAGCAACTTTTCAAGTTGTTGTCTTGTCAGTAACTTTAATTTTAACTTTGGATCAAATATTGGGTTTCCATCTTTATCTCTTCCAATAACACCATATGGTAGAATCTTCATTTATACTAAAATAAAAATTTAAATTATGCCGTTCTAAAGTTTGTGAAACAAACATTGAGCGTTCATTGAACGCAAAACCATGCATAAACTGTCATATAAGGTGGCATGTAATCTTCACCCGAGCCTGTTGGATTTGTTGTGAAAGTATGGACATGATTTCCTCCTGGTTCAGTTGGTCGAAAAGTCTTTTTTGTTGAATCGTTATAAGCTGGAGATAAAACATCATGACCGGCTTCATAGTCTGAGTTGTATAATGGGTGGTCTCTTAATGAGTGTATATGGTCGCCAGAAAAGTTTGTAGTTCCTGTATGCTTATGCGGCGGAAGGTTTGCTTCTTTAATTTTCTTTGAACCACCGGTTTGTTTTGAACTATTAGCACAGTAGAGGAAACGATCGGTTATTTGTTGCCATGTACCGAAACCGAATACATCAGCTGGATTTGTTGAATTCATTGATGTATATATTGAACCAATGGGGTAAATCATCTCAAGAATTGTATTTAATCCATTATGAATATTGAATTTATTATATAATATTGAAACTGGGTAAGAAATTAAAATTGGTCTTGTCATCAATATTAACGTATTATTTTTGAAAATTGCTTTTCTAACATCTTGAAATTTTGTGATTTCAGACCAATTTCTTCCATCACTACTGATATTTACTAAATCACCACATCCAAAAGCAATGAAATACCCATCAATATAAAATAAATTAGTAAATCTATAATTTCGAGTAAGTTTTGGAGTGAATGAATAAACCAATTCCCAATTTGATAAATCCTGTGATAAATAAATATGTCTGTTATAACTTACAGGATATGAATAGACCATTCCACCTGAAACGAGAACATAAACATTTGATCCATAACATAAAGCTTCAATGTCTCCATCAGCTTGAAAAATTTGTTCAAATTGACCTTGTGGTATTGAAGATGATCTATAAATTTTATCATTTTGTAGGATAAAATACATGTTGTTAATGTAATACCACTTACTTGTATAATCAATTTTCAAATCTGATGACATCATACTAAACATATAATAATTTATTCCATCCTCACTAATGAAAATTTGATTGACTTCATAAATTAGTACCCATTTATTATTAACGCATCTAATAGGATTATTTGGATATTTAAATTTAGCATCTTGATTTAAATTACATTTGAACCATTGGATACAATCGAATGAATAACAAGGGCAAAAATCATCTCCAACCGTTATCATTCCCATAAATTTACCGTTATTATATTCAACATATAAAATTCTTGGATTAATGATTGGCTTTCGTGTATCAGGATTCCAAACAGATGGAGTAAATGATTCATAGTTTTTAAAATCATTTGTTTTAAAATAATAAAGCACTCCAGCTGTATAAAAAAATACGTGGTCACTCCATCGAAACATATCCATTCAAAAGAATCTATATCAAAGGTTTTATCTGATGATTTCATAAAATTTAAAAATGGTGGAGTAAAATAGACCTCTGATTGTTTTATTTCTTCATTAACAAATGATATATCAGCTTTCTTTGCTAACTCAGTATTAATGAATGAAATAACTTTTTCCTTATCTGCTTTCTTCTCTAACTCATTGTTAACATATGTTTTATCTGCTTTAAGGTCTAAACATCCTGAAACCCATTCTGTATCAGCTTTAACTTTAAAAGTCTCCAATGTCCATTCATGATACCATTCAACCTTTTCTTTAATTTCATTATCTTTTTCATCAACATAAACCAAATTTGCCTTCTTATTTAATTCAGTATTAACTATCCACATATTCCTTATCCACCTTCTTCATTATGTCATTTAGGAAACCTTCTATGAATTCCTCATTTAAATTAAATCTTCCAATCTTCAAAAATTTAGGAAATGCATTTAATGCGTAATATCTCTGTTTTTCTGGTGGAATTGATGTTATATCATCCGTTATTCCTTTAATTTTTGAATTCATAAATAAAATTTCTTTTATATTTGATATCACTGCACCACCTTTGCAAACGAATTCGAAATGGTCATTTTTCAATACTATCTCCAAATCTCCATATTTCAACCTTTGCGTTTGTTCTGCCGTCTTTGAATTATATGCATATGTGGCGTATGTAATGGTCTGAAGGACCTGGGCGCTTTGCGCCTTAAGTTGCTGTTGTTTAATCATTTATTACGATTTAAAAATAAATATTTAATCCGTTATCTCATCAGCTATTTTCTCTATTTGAAATTGCCATAATATTTCATTCATAAATTCTAAATCACAATCAAATAGGTCAGTTATTCTAAATTTAATATTTGATAAATCTTTTGAATGAAGAATAAATGAATTCCCGGATAATTGAAACGGATATGATAAAGAAAATGTGTTTAAGTTGATGGATAAAATGTTTTGTATTGATGGGTAAGAGTTAGGGTCTAATGTTTGATGTGAAAATCTCATTGGTGTATTAACTTTATCACATTTTATTAAAATGAAATTGGAACCAGTGTCAGAATACAGTTAGTATACATATCATGTGTACGGTGGCACTGCATTCCTCAGTACGCAATACTTGTGAATTTGACACTTTACAAAACCGTTAACGTTTATTTTACAACACAAACGACAACACCAACTTAACCTTAAATATTTATAAAGCCGCCAACCACTTCACCTTACTACTGTAAAAATAAACGTTCTCACTTACAAAAGTATTGCAACTCTTCCCATTGCTGTGCTTCACACAATAGTTCATATTCTTCAGTATCGCTGCTGTCGCTCCAATCGTCAGAGTCAAAATCACTGTCATAGTTTATACCTGTAAGTTTTGACAAAGCTAATGAAACACGTTTACCGTTTGTATCGTATGCTTGTATAAACTTTCCATTCTTCATTCCTTCATAAACGCTCAAACTAACTTTACCCTTTCTCCCTCGTATCTGATAGAATGTATTTTCACGAGGAACGAAGAACAAATTCTTGAACTCATGACCGTTGTAGTTTGTTATCTCAATAGTTTTCGTCATTTATATAAAAATAAAATAAAAAAATAAACTTAAAATTAATGATATCACCACCCTCACACGTATGAAAACATAGCGCAAAAATAAATTTAGGTGAAGTGGTGAAATCTCACCTCTTTTTTCACCTCTTTTTTCACCTCATGAATTCATTGCTTTATAACTCTCTTCCTTTCTCCAACTCTTCTAACTTCTTCCTAAGTTCAGCAATGTTGTCCTCATGAAGTTTAATCTTCCTTAATATACCTTCTCTATCTAATGGTTGCTTTATCTTTCTAAACTGAACTCTACCATCCTTCATAGTATGAACGTAAAAACCTTCTGGAACCGCTCCTGATTTAATGTATTCTACCAAAAATTTTTGTTTCATTGCTTCAGTGACTTTAGTCGTCATTTTACTCTAAATAAAATTTTAATATTAAATAAAAATAACGTTATTTTTTCAGTAAGGAAACGCAGGAGTTTTACGATTTATTTGAGGAGTAGGTTCTGGTTTAAATGTTGGAGTCGGTTTAGGAGTTGACTTTTGAACAGGAGTTTGTACTTTCATAGGTTCAGGAGTCATTGAAGGTTTTGCTTGTGAAGGCGTTGGTTTGGCGATGGTGTCGGAGTTGTTCAAATTCAGCTACTTCAGTATTATTTATAACATTTGCTTTATTTCTTTTCAACATCATTACTGCTCCTGCTGTAGCTAGCAAACCTAGTGGGAGACCATATTTTATAATAAGACTTGACCAAATGCTATTTTTGACAGGAGCTGGTGGAACACCTAACCTTGGTGAGACTGCTCTTTGCCATTGTGCAGCTCGTAAGAAATATTCAATATGTGCTCCATAATCGTTTGGTAAAGTTTGTTTCACAGATGGTGAAGGTTCACGAGAGCTTGATGAAGAACTCATTTATAAGCTTTAAAAATAAACGTTCATCCTTTATTCTTCACTGTCGTCAGTTGCTAAGTTATAGTCGTCAAGTCTTATTATTGGTATGCCTGACTGTCTTACTTGTATTGCAAAGCAACAATCCCTCATAAATCCAATAAGTGGCTTTGGTACATTTTCAGTTGCTAGTTCAATAGGTCCTTTAACAGACAATTTGTATGTTATTGGAGCAGTAGATGTTTGACCTTGCTGGAAGCAAAAGTCCACTTCTGTTGGAAAACCACATAAGAAATGTGTGTTGTCATAGCTATCCCATTTATGTTCCACACTACCATCATCCACCAATGACCTCATAACATCTTCATTAAATCCTATCATATCATTGTTTGTATTGCAGGCGTTCGCAACCATTTCATAAAATACAGGTCCATATGATTTTTCAGGTTCTGCAGGCATATTTCCATAAGCTCCCATGGAAAGCTGAAGATATTTAAACTTAGGGTTCTCAAAATTAACATAATAGTTGTCTTTCTTTCTAAATAGTGCCCAAATACTTTTAACATTAATAGGCGTATAAGCTGCTGTAAATGTTGCACTTGAACTATCTGTATTCTTTGAGAATGAACCGTCCATAGGAATCCAATCCATAACTTTAACAGGAAAACATAAAGCCTCGTTTGTATAATGTTCTACAAGTTCTGTATAAATTTAGGGTCTAAAGAGAATGACTTTGGATGAATGAAACATTCATTAAAATCCATCTTTGTTCGAAATAGTTGCTGGTTTACAGTTGTAATAGTAACTGTTCCACTAGCTTCTACTGCCTTCGTTATCATAGTGAATGATTCATTCCATGGAACAAATTTATTTGTCGGTGGATTTGAATCTGAAGCAAATGCAACTTTAAGAGTTGGATTGAAAGCAATGATATCATTTACAGATATAGATGTGCATTGTAAGGCGTCGCTACTGAACTTTACTTTAAGCTGAATGTTTCCTGCAAAAGCTGGAATAAATCGAATAGCTTCTAATGGAAGGAATCTTCTAACAGGAATTCTTAAACGAAGCTTAAAATCAAATGATTTTCCTGCTGTAATTGGACCACTAACAATTTGTCCTGTTCTGCATGTTCCCGAATGACTCCATACATCTTCATGTCGAGTCTTTGAGAAAACATCTACTTTCTTTATTTGTTCGGTAGTTTGTGAGTTTGAAGTTATATATGCTTCTTCTCTTGCGTTGTCTTGAGAATATACGATACGACCATTTGCAAGGATTTGATATCCAGCAACTGCATAGAAAGCGTCATCGAAACCAATCCAAAATCCTGGTGGGTTTGTTTTATTGGAACCTGAACCAATTTCTTTATCTGCAATAAATTGACCTTCCATTTTATACGTAATGAATGTATTGTAAAGGTCCAACATATTTTCACCAGGAGGTGAGAGATTGAATGTTACCCATGTGTTATCTTTAGCAGTTCCAGGTTGTGATGGAATCTTTGCGTCAGAATATTTTCTATTAGTGTCACCAATTTGAACTGCATTGTCTATGATATCGAAATATGAGCGAATCTGATGAATATGCTCTGCTGGAGTAAATTCGTTTAACTGTTCGTTCTGCATGTATTTACTTCAGATAAAAATATCTATTTACTTCATTATTCTCACTCTTCTTCTTGGTATTCGTGGTGGAAGTTGTTTCTTGACATTTTCAATGAACTGTACATTCTCTTTTGTCTCAACTTCTTTCACTGGTGGGTCAGGGTTCTTTGACTCGGTTTGTTTTTCAATGAAATTCACGAACTTTGCAATAAGCTCTTGGTTCGTTATTGAAAGTACATCTGGCTTCTTTTCTTCTGGTTCTATTGGTGGCTCAGTTTGAACAGAAGGTTTTATATGGGCTTCGTGGACTTCACCCTTGCCATGCACCTTAATGTTGTCGCTCTCTGCATTCGCTAATGGTACCTTTCTTTTTCTTACATATATTTTACCATCTTTACTCTGACTTACATAATAGAAAGGATGTTGTATTCCTCTGGCGTCATTTAATATAATAGACTCTCGTTCTGATTTTGACAAGCTCATTTTACATCGGTTAAAGTTTTAATTTAGTTTTTTATCTACAGTCAAATGACTCAGACAAATCCTACGGACAAGACCCAAGGGGTCATAGATGTTGAAGCATTGAAGAAAGAAATTCGCGAGCAAATTTTATCCGAACTGAAGGAACAAAAACCAGAACAAAAGCCAGAGAGACCAAAGAGAAAACTTAGTGAAAAACAACTAGCTGCATTAGCTGCTGGAAGACAGAAGAACCCACGTTTGCTGGCGAAAAAAGCTAGAGAAGAAGCAAAAGCAAAGGAAGAACAAAAAGCAAAGGAAGCTGAAGCAAAGAAAGAGTAAATGGTTTATTTTTATCCAAACTAAATGTATAGACAAATACCTTTATCTGTTGCGTTCAGTAGTGAAAACCCTGACGTCAAAATAAAGGGGAACAGAGTAACGTTTAAGTTTCCAACAGACTGGATTGTGAACATAAATGAAGAGAAGTACATTGGCATAACATCTATGTATATAACACGTGCTTTCAGAAAGGTTGACTTTATACTTCAAGTCGAGATAGAAAATGACGAACAGTCTTTAAGCGCCCAAAACATTCACATATACAAATACTTTAAAGACGATACAACATTGTTGCAATGTATGATTTCATTTAATGAGATGTTCGAGAAAAAGTTCAACATTGAAGTACAAACTTTACAGCCTTTACGTGAGTTTCTTGCACAACTGAAAGAAGAAGGTAGTCAGCCACAACTTATAGACTTTCATTATGAATTTAATGAAAATGAAGATGGAACTCATGACTGTCAATTCATTGTATTCTCACCATTCAATGAAGTCGCTAAAGAGAAAAAAAATCCATTACGTATAAGGTTTCAAATCTCTGAACCAAGTGATGATTTTAAGAATGTTTTCAATTATGATGCAATGCTTCCGAGGAAAAATGAATTTTCAAAGATTGTAACACCTGGCATTTGGGATAGAAAGCAAGCAATACTTTACTCTAATATAGCCAAAGGCGTTGAAAATGAGTTCATTGGTCATACAAGAACTTCACCACTTCCTAACCCTAAATACTATAAATTAACTGGCTTCAATCGTGAGTTTTGGATAGACATGTTCTCCACTCATGACCATAAATGTCCAGTGTTCTTGCCTCCAGATGGGAAGGACTGTCTCTACATTGAAGCACAACTCTTAAACTCTACCATCGCAGTATTGTAAAATCTACGCTAGCTTTATTTTTATCACGAATGACCTCATTGCTGACAAAAATAAGCCGCTAGCGGCAAGGGCGAAGCCCATGACCTCAGAACTTCAACTCAAAGAGTCCGGAGACAAAGTCTCATGGTTTTTAGGTTATTCAATAATTAATTATTTTTAAAGAACTAAAGGTGCTACCATGCTACCATGTGCTACCAGGTCATTTAACTTCTCTGAAAAAGTGTGACAACACGACATTTTGACAACAACACAGGAGGAAGGCAGTTATGAATTATTTTTAAAGAACTGAAGGTGCTACCATGTTACCATGTTGACAACACGACATTTTGACAACAGTTCAGGAGGAAGGTAGTTATGAATTATTTTTAAAGAACTGAAGGTGCTACCATGCTACCATGTGCTACCAGGTCATTTAACTTCTCTGAAAAAGTGTGACAACACGACATTTTGACAACAGTTCAGGATTAATGCAAAAATAAATTCCAATCATACTTTATAAAGCTAGACCTTCAGGTCTCGCCGCTTAGCGGCTCATTTACAGGTATTTCATCATCAGTAAATGATTCCTCATTATCGTTTGGTTCAACCTGTTTATATAATCCTTTCATTTCTTCTTTCAAAACATAATACCATATCTGTTTACCGTCTATTCTTCTATGTTTCCTATCACATTTATCCTTAATACTCATTTGAAAGTTTTTGTCTTTCATGTCTGATGGTTTGCAGAATAGAGCATTTTCACACGTCATACCTGCACACAATTCATCATAATGTGTATTTATCCATACATCTAAAGGATTTGATGATAATTCAATTAAATCTTGTTTGGCTTCAGTCATCGGTATGATTCGTACATTAAATGATGAAAGGTCGTAATTGATAAAATACGTCAGTTAAATTATCATAAAATTCCTTTGTGCATGAATCCATCAAATTCTTGAAGTAATCAAATTGACCCTTGAATTTACCATTAACTCTTAAAACTACGTATCTTCTGTCTCCAACTTCAATTTTGACAGGGTAAACGTTGTTAGTTACGAAAATGAAGTTTGCAACGTTCTGAGCTGTTCTTCTGGGTTGATTCTTTTCATTAATTCTAATCTCATTATCCGTAATAATTGATTTCAAAGCGTTGAAGTTTGCGAGTCTGTCTTCACCCACATTCTTGAGTTCATTAAGTACAAGAAACATTTTATTTTCAACTACTGAGTTGAAATTACCCGTTAGCTCACTTATTTCGGTAATGTTTTTACATGAATAACCAGCGAGAAGTTCAGAAATAATGTCTGTAAATCTGTTTTTACCTGTTCCCTGAAGTCCTTTCAAAATAATTGCTGTTTCATTCTTGATTCCAGGATGTTGAATCATTGATGCAATCCAGCCGAGAAGGTATTTATACACTTCATCGTTATTATCACAAATGGCTTCTTTAATGAAATTCATAAACATCTCAATTTTTGAGTAATCTGGTTTTTCGAGAACGTTGTATTTATAACCTTGAAAACGTTGAGAAAACATCTGGGGAATCAGATTTAAAGCAAACACCCTTAACGGTTAATGAGGATAATTGATTTAGTAGTACATCCCATGCTGTTATTGTTTTACCTTCTTCTTTAAATAATTTAATCATTTTGAGTGACTCTTTCATGTTTGACTGAAGAACAAATGATATTTGATTCATTTTGTCGTGGATATTATAGTCCTTTTGAATGAAATATTTATTTCCACAATCTACAAAACGGATTACACGTGATAAATCCTCAATTACTTCAGAACTGTTTTTATACTGATGATTTTCAGCCTTGCGTCTAATATCTGTTATCAAAAACGAGTCATCAAGTTTGATATCAAATGTTATTTTTGGCTTACGTAATAAAGGTAAAACATATTCATCATAATATTCCTTTTGATATAGTTTTAGAATCTTCACTAAAACAAATGGAGAAGTCATTAAATGTGCATATCTACTACGTGCTTTTTCAAAATTACTTTTTGCATTTTCTGTTAAACTGCAGAAGTTATAAACGTTATCGTATGCTTCATTAATTAAATGATCCGGTAACGAATTAATAGCTTGAAACAGTGTGAATAATGTTATTTCTTTTTCTAAATTCATGTTTCCACCGTCATTATGTACTTCAAAATCACAGATGCCATCAACTATGCTCTGAGCTAGTTTATCGTCAATGTTTACATCTTTGTTTTCATTCATGATAGTCTTTATTTCTTCATTCTTCTGTTCAACTCTTACCTTAATATTCAAATCATTTAATATATCATTCACTGTTCTAGTTAATGTTGAATCATAACTTCCACGAATGAATGAGTATGTTTTGATTGGTTCTGTTGCATTCTTGCGAACTCTTGAATCAGCCATAACCACTAAAGAACGCTTTGAATCATCCATAGAAGTCATGATATCAATATCATAATCATTGCAGGAATAACATTTAATCATTCTGTTCGAAACTGCATAGAAGAAATTAGTGTTGCAATAAATGTGAAGACCTCCTGAAGCGGTTTTAACGATAACATCTTTATCGAAAGTTTTGATAAAATGTCTTTTCTAACTGTTTCTTTAAGTTCATCATTGTACGATTTATTGATATCAACATCTATAATCGTTAAATTTGATATTTTATTTACTAATAAAGCCATACCAGTTTTCCTTCCTCTTCCTCCATCATGTTTGAGGTAGTTATGTAAATCAATCCTGTTTTCACCAATTCTTTCGTTGAGGGTTTTAGTTTCTGCCACAACTAATTCCTCAGCTAATGAATCAATAACTTTTTCATCAGAAACGATATAGTTGCTGTTGTTGTTTGTTGCTGTCATTTATATAGGAATAAAAAATAAAAATAATTCATAACTACCTTTATTTTTCTGTCTTAAGGAAATTCATGAAAATTCATGGTTCAAAACTGAATATCATATAACCTCTTGAAAACGTTTAAACGAACTTGAACTTTCTTTCCTTCAGTATCCGTCAAAGTAACATATGCAATTCCTGATTTTAGGAAACAAACATGCATTTTTCTATAGTTAACTCCTGTATAGTAATAGAATGCGTCCTCATTCTCAACATAGTAGTAGAACTCTAAGTCATGCTTTCCATAAGAGTTTATTTCAATTGCTTCGTCAGATATTTCATCAACGAACTCATAAACTATATCACCATACTTGCTTTTATTTCTATTGTTTTCAGATCTAGAACACCAACGAAGGTTTGAGATTCTGTTGTCGTCTCTTTGATGGTTTATATGGTCCACACACGGTAAATTGTTCGGATTGGAAATAAAATGAGTAGCTATGAGAACATGTTTTTGGTACTTTTTGAGGTTTAATGTTACACAAATATAACCTATTCCTCTGTTATATTCATGTATAATTCTCTTGGTTTCTTTCTTCCTTATTTCAAAAGGCTCAGAACAGTGAATTTCATACTCTTCATCTTGTAAACATTCTTTCCATACATCTTGACCAACAAGTTCAGCGTACATCTGTCTTTACATACAAAATAAAATATATTTTTTTAAAAAACTAAAATATATGTTTATTTCGGGAAAATTCATGACAAAAACATTTACGATGAAGAAGTCATGACAAAACATTTACGAAGAAGAAGTCATGACAAAACATTTACGAAGAAGAAGTCATGACAAAAACATTTACGAAGAAGAAGTCATGACAAAACATTTACGATGAAGAAGTCATGACAAAACATTTACGATGAAGAAGTCATGACAAAACATTTACGATGAAGAAGTCATGACAAAAACATTTACGAAGAAGAAGTCATGACAAAACATTTACGATGAAGAAGTCATGACAAAAACATTTACGAAGAAGAAGTCATGACAAAACATTTACGAAGAAGAAGTCATGACAAAAACATTTACGATGAAGAAGTTTATTTCCTGTGTTGTTGTCAAAATGTCGTGTTGTCACACTTTTTCAGAGAAGTTAAATGACCTGGTAGCACATGGTAGCATGGTAGCACCTTCAGTTATTCAAAAAATAATTCATAACTACCTTCCTCCTGAACTGTTGTCAAAATGTCGTGTTGTCAGTAATTTTCAGAGAAGTTAAATGACCTGGTAGCACATGGTAACATGGTAGCACCTTCAGTTATTCAAAAATAAGTCGTAAAAGCTTTTGTTGTTTCTTCTGACTAAATGCAACATAACCATATCTCTGTCTTCTTCATTTTCCATCTCTTCAGCGTAAATCATATACTTATAACTCTTTTCCTTTCCTTTTGGTACCGAACGTGGTATTCTTTTCTGAATGCTTTTGTCTTTTGCTTCAATGACTTCATTTTTTGCTTGAAGTTTCTTTTCCATCTGTTCGCGTTCTGCTTTATATAGTTCATCTAACATCATGAAAATATAACAAGCATAACGAGGTGAAGCCCACATTGCTACAGCGTTTACTAAAAGTCTATGAACATAATAACCTTTCAAACCAGGTGCCAAATTCTTGCGATTTTCGTACGGAATCTCTTCCCTCGGTTTTCCGAGGGAAGCAATCATATGAGGAAATTCTTCTAAAAGTTCTTTTGCCTGTTGGTTTTCAAACCAATGATATGCTTGCTTTGTAGAACGAAGAGCGTTCATTATACTTTGCATTTGGTACATGTCATCTTTGACAGAACGAATGAGTCTCAATTGTTTGTTATATTGTATGTATTCGTATTCTTCATTTATGGCTTCATGGACTATAACTGTTGTTGTGTTCTCTAATGTTGACATTTCTGTTCTTACATACAGGATAAAAAAATAAATAAAATAAAAACTAACTTTATTTTTTCTGAGATAAACACTATTTCTTCACAACATTAAATTTTATCCTGTATGAAATGACTTTAAAAAGATTATTGACTGACTTCGAATACTATCTCATTGACGCACTGACAGACCCTCAAAACTGTGTTGAAAGTTCTTTAAGCTTTAAGATTGAAGGTACGACGCATTTTGTCTTCACTTACGTATTGAAAGAACATGACCGTTATCATAACGAAGTGAATCAAACACTAATAAAATTTGTAGATAAAAAATTGGTTAACAATGAATATTTTAAACGTGAAGACCCAAACACTGCTGGAGATGATGAAGAATACAGACAAGCTATTGAAAAAAATAACGCAAGATTAGATGCAATAGAAAAGAAGTTTAATGAATGTCTTACAAACACGTATGAATATCTTATGCGGTGGGAAGCCAGATGGAAATAAATTTACGTCAAATATGCAATTTATAAAATCTTATGTCGACAGGCTACGTAGCACAGTGGTCTAAGGTGGTGTTATGGAGGGGTCAAGGTCTGTGGTTCGAACCGCGACAGCGCCGTATTTTCTTATTTTCTTTATTTGTCTTGTTTGTCGTGAATAAAAAGTGTCATAAAAGTGCTCTATCTTCCACGGGAATAAATAAAAAATTTACTTTATTTCTTCTTTATTTCTTTGTTCCCGTGGAAGAAGGGTTTTGCTGTTTTTTCTCAGCCAAAATCAATGATTTTTTCATTTTTGGAATCCTTAGCGAATGAGGAATCTTTTCTCTCGTGGAAGCTTTGACCAAAAATAAGCCGCTAGCGGCAAGGGCGAAGCCCATAATTTAGGTGAAGAGACCCAAAGGGTCAGAGCCGCAAAGCGGCTAGGTGAGATGTCACCTCTTTTTTCACCTCTTTTTTCACCCTCGTGACTTTGTCATAACTTCTTCGTAAATGCTTTGTCATAACTTCTTCGTAAATGAGTGTAAATGACCAAAAATATATTATAGGTGAAGAGACCCAAAGGGTCAGAGCCGCAAAGCGGCTAGGTGAGATGTCACCTCTTTTTTCACCTAATTTCTCACCCTCAGCCGCTAAGCGGCGAGACCCAAAGGGTCTTGAATTTTCATGAATTTCCTTAAGATAGAAAAATAACGTTAGTTTTATTTTTATTTATTTTTTTATTTTGTATGTAAAGATATGATTTCAACAATCGGCACAACAACAATTCAAGCCGCGAACGGCGGGACTCTGTCCACAACAACTTCACCAAACTCGTTAGTCATGAATCCAACATCTATGTTAGTAGAGATGAAAAGCTTCATTCCTTCTTCATATACTTTCGAAACAGAAATCCAGAAGATAAAGCAAGAACTTTTAACAAGTAATTTAGACTGTAGTGCGAAAGATGAAACAAATGAACAGTATCTTTATGAAATGCAGGACATTATTGACCATTTACCTAAACTACCTGAAATTCAGCATCAAAAACTAACTATTCCTGAATTCGATGAAATAGAAGTGAAACCAACTGACTCAGTAGAAATAAAGAAGTTCATTCGAAAGGTAAACTATGAGTTTCTAGGATTTCATTGCAACCATAAGGTTATGGACAAAGATTGCGACATGGTATATAAGAATGTTTCTGACATATATAAATCCGGGGAGTTTAAGACCTACGATAACTTTGTTTCGTTAGTTGCTGAATGTGTATGGCAGATAAGAGATAAAGATAGAAGAGGTAAAATATGGAACGAACAGATAAGACCAACTGCTTTTGAGTTAAAGAAAACCATTGACGCTTTAGTTGTTTTAGCAGGTAAGGTTTCAATGTATAACGCAAAAATGAACCCGCAATGTTCTAAATGTAAAGCAGCAATTAGGAAATATAACTACTCCGTCAAAGAGATAGAAAGAATGCGAAACGACTATGCAGACTTAAAGAAAGAAGCAGAAAAGCCAGCAGAAAATAAAATGGACATGTTAGCATTTCTGAACAAAAACTATCCAACTGCTGACGATTTCCTTCTATCTGACGTCAAGAAGAAATATAAAGAAACTTTCGGCATTGTTAAAACTTTTGACATACTGACAGAAGAAATAGAAGCTACGAAATTGTTTAGGATTTCAAATATACATCGTACAATTCATGTAAAACGCTTGTGAAAAACTGGGGTGAGAAAACAGGTGAAAAAAGAGGTGACATCTCACCTCTTCACCTAAACATTATTTTTACTGAATTCAATAAAAATAAATGGTTCATTTACTCACAATATTTTTGTACAAAACGACCCCAAACTTTTAACTTCTTTTCTGCAGCTTCAAATGCTATCTTAGCGAGTTCATATTCTCTAAATTCTCTCTTTAAATCTTCTTGTTCCCATTGGTCTAGTTCGTATGGAGAATCTCTATAACCATAATATATCTCACGTTCATGTTCTAATTGTTTTTCACACATTTTTCCAACTTCTTCTTCGAACAAAGGTTTAGCATTCTCCACTGTATCTTCGAGTTCTTCTTCATCTAACTTCTCATGAACTTTCTTGTCTATGGAGTCCATAATATCTTTGACATAAAATGCATACTTTACAGAGCACCATTCAGCAACAAAATGAACGAGGTCAGCATGTATGTAAATACCTTTGAATTCATTCATAACGCCCTTAGTAAGCTCATAAAATGCTTGTTTTGAGGTTGAGCCACTTTTGGCTCGACCGTATTCTTTCAACCAAAACTCAAGAATTTCCTGCATTTTAGCACTATTGAGAAATCTGTTTAAATGGTTTAACTTTCCTGCTTCTCTCGCCATCTTTGTTGCATTAATGTAACCATCCTTGTCTCTACGTAAGACTTCAATACCGTTATAAGTGCCTTTTGTGAATGTTTCACCATTAGATTTGTTCGTGAATGTTTTTGCTTCGATTGACATTTCTGTTCTTACATACAAAATAAAAAAATAAATAAAAATAAAACTAACTTTATTTTTGGTCTTTTGTGAAAATTCACGAAAATTCAAGAGGTGAAAAAAGAGGTGAGAAAACAGGTGAAATCTCACCTAGCCGCTTTGC